AGAAGGAAGGAAGGAAGGAAGGAAGGAAGGAAGGAAGGAAGGAAGGAAGGAAGGAAGGAAGGAAGGAAGGAAGGAAGAAGAAAGAAAGAGCAAAAGCTAAAAAGTTTCCAAGGAAAGAAAAATAGAAGGTCAGTAGAAATCTAAAAGTAGGAGAATGGCCAAAGAGCCAGCATACAATTAGAAACAAATGAAATTTCTCCGGATAGTCTTGTACATTAAGTCAAAGAGCTTCTGTTCCTTCAGAGATGCATGTAAGCAGACATTGGAGGGGATGCTGAAAGGGCTGTGGCTGGGTGAATTCCCTGTGAAGGATTTGAAGCTGTACTGTGAATTTCAGGGATTCCGTGAGGAACGGACTGAGGTCCTGAGATGTAGGAAGTGTAAGAGAGTGGCTGCACCCCATTAGCAGGTTTCCACCAAGAAAGCCAGGTTTCCATTAAGGTGAGGAGGTAGCAGGAGTATTCTACAAAGCAACTGAGGTTTTTAAGAGGATTTTGCAGCAGTAGAATACAGCTGCATTTCCCTGAATGTGTTACCAGTGAGGGAGGGAGATACTTAGAGGCAGGTAAGTTTGGGAAACAAAGCGACATCAAATACTGTAGTTCCTTTACTGTAGGCTTCTCAGAGCTTTTATCTCCCTCAAGTGCAATGTGAATCTCCAGGTTTGGGTGGTGGTAGGGGGTGGATAGGGAACATAGAGATGGGTCTAGAGGTATTTCCCAAGTCTGTTAGCCACGGGACCCTTATCTTCTCAGAGCATCAGACGGCATACATTGAGAATTGGAGTAACAGAGGCACCCATAGCAGGTTAAAAGATAAGTCAGAGAAGGGGAAAGTCTGAATGGGTAAGGGTGAGCTTAAAGGAGAGGGCAGTTTAACAGAGGGACAGTCCTCCTGGACTCTGGTCTGCCCACAGGTAGGTAAGTACACCACGGTGGAGTTGAGTGGCTGAGCAAAGGGACGTGATGAAGATGAGGACCAGAAGGGACGTACTGTTCACATCCCAGTGGGAATTTCATCAGAAGCTATGCTGCCATCACAGCAATGTGTTTGCTTCGATAGAGAACCTTCAACAGGGTTATACCAATCCCAAGTATGATTGTCTTTCTTTGAGCAGCTTCCAGTAACTGCAGAAACCAAAGCAACTAGGGCTAGAGTTGAGGGCTGTTTCAGAAGCCCCTCTACAGGAAGACTATGCTTGGGTCTACTGGCCTCTAAGCGAGATTCCTAGTAGCCATGGCAGATGGGGAGGCCACTGAGGCAAGCAGATGCAAATTCAGGCCCAAGAGCCTTTTGAGAAGGAAGTGTGCGGAAAGCTTGTCAATGTGTGGGCCATCTTGCTGCTTGACTGACTTGTTTTCATCCTTCCCTCCTTCATTAAATGTACTGTTTTATTTGCATTAAGATTGTCCCAAAGCAGTTGGATGGGAAAAGAACCAGAAAGGAGGCATGGGACCGAGGATGGTGAACCTCAGTGAATGCATGGACCCTAAAAGGTATATTTTGGAAGATGTTTTCTCCAATGGAGCTTTTGCACCCCAGGTTCTGTGAGGCCAGTGGCATCACACAATTCAGTCCAGGGGGTGCCATTCACATGAACAATGAGTGTTATTGCATTCTTTGCTGCTTAAGTCATAATTTAAGTTTGGTTGTGGGAATTAATATTGATAGATATCCCGAAGGGCACACAGTTCACCTGTTCCTAGACATTCTAAATTTTGTCCTTGCTTCAAGCTCAGACTTGCAGACCTGTATACCTGTAGCATCTTTTAGTCCTTTATTCATTGCCCTTTAATTTTGTCCAAGTAGCCTACATAGAAGGACATTATAAGAAATATTTCATGGAAACCAGTATTGTATTTAAGGGAGAATGTAAGTGCACCCTTTATTGAGTGGACATGGAAGAAATGTCTCTGTTTTCAGTATTAGGAAAAACTTTCCTCTTAAGCAACTGGTATCTGGTGTGTTTTTATTTATGGATACAATGACTTCTGGTACCAGGCATGCTTCCCTTTTCATCTTGGCTGCTAGGAGCTCAGTATCAAATATGTGGCCTATCACTAACAATTGCAGAAGACTACAATGGCATGAGTCTGTACAGTAAGTAACCTTTCTCCTCCCCACTTACCCTCAAGCTTCATCATATTTTTCCTTTGATCCTAATTTCCTTAGTATTTGTTTCTTTTCCCATACAGCTACTTTCTATCCAAAAAGGACAAGATGGGAGTATAAATGAGTGATTGACTGAATAAATAAATAATTCTCTCATTTGTTTAGGTTAGCTGAGTCATCAGTGGATCTAAATCTCAAATTGATGTGTTGGAGATTGGTGCCTACTTTGGATTTAGACAAAGTTGTGTCTGCCAAATGTTTGCTGCTTGGAGCCGGCACCTTGGGTTGTAATGTAGCTAGGACACTGATGGTAAGTTTGTGGGGGCCAAAGGGTACCTTTGAAGCTGTGGCTTCTCTATTTTACTATATCTGATTGCCTTCCACCTTCCAGATGCCCTTTTCCCTCCCTCTCTCCTTTCCTTTTTTCTTTTCTCAATATATTTTTAATTATAAAAGGAATACATGCTTTTATTATAAGGTAAAAACACAAAGTCTCTCTTCACTCCCATCCCAAGTCACATTTCCCAGAATTCTTTAGACTTTATAGATCAGTATGCAGTACATCTTTCCCTGAAGTTGTCATAGGCATATACAAATAGACATTGTCATATTTGCTGCTATTTATTTATATTTATGAAAATTAGATCATAGCATACTGTCTATAACAGGTTTTTATTTTTAACTTAATATAAAAGTAATTATGGCTCTTTTTTTTTCTGTATCCCATGTTATGTATATATAATATTTTGTTGTATGACTGTGTCCTTGGTTTATTTCATCAGTGTCAGCATATTTTTCATTTAGAGGTGCTGATGATATGAATATATTTACACTTATATCTTTACTATGATAATACTATTGATAGTATTATTTCTTTGGGGAAAAAAATCCTAGAATTGCTATGGTAGAGAAAATGTAATATATATCTCTTTTTTTTTTTCCTTCCCGAACTAAATTATCTTTCAAAAAGATTATACTAGTCTCTACTCCTAGAAACATGTGAGGAACAGAACTTCTTATTTGCATTTCTTTAATTAGTGAGAGTCTTAAATTTTATTTCTTTTGTGAAGTTTATTTCTTCTATTCGTGTCCTTTGGGCTGTGTTTCTTTTATTGATTTGGAGTTCTTTTTATTATGGTTAACCTTTTTTCTGTTATGTGATGCAAATGTTTTTCTCAACTTATTTAAAGTATGTTTAGCCATATAAAAAATTTTTAACAAAGTTTTTGTGATTAATTATGTTAGTCTTTTCCTTTATGGTTTACAACACTCTTGTGTAAAAGTTATAACACAGGAAAGGTATCCATTTTTCTACCACTTTTTCACTTTTTTCCTTTCAGTGTTTGTTTAATATATATTTTTAAACCTTATATGATATGTAATAATGTCCCTTGGTTTTATTAATTAACGTTGTAAACACTTTCCTATATCATTAAAAAGGGTGCTTATTAGGCCTTTTTAATGGCTTTAGTATATGCCTTTTTGTATGATGAAACATAATTTACTGAGACATTCCCCTAACATTAGGCATTAACATTTATTCCAATTTTTTACATAAGTGTAAATTTTTTATACATAACTATAAATTATGTTGCAAAGAACATCTTTGCAATTGCATTTTTGTCAGCATTTCAGACTATTTCCTAGGGTAGATTAGCAGAAGTAGGTCAAAGGATGTGCACATTTTAAAGACTCTAGAAACATTGCCAAATTGCTTTCCAGAAAAATACACCAGTTTATCATTATCAACCAGTAAAACAGGCTTTTCACTACCACATCCTCACCAGCATTGAGTATTGTAATTCTCTTTAATCTTTGCAGATTAGCCATTTAAACTGTGTAGCATTCCAGGAAGCCAAAAGTTAAGTGTGGAAGTCCACCTGCATGTGACTACCTATGGCATGTTTGTAATTTATCTGGCTTTCTTCCCACTGCCCAGCATGTTCCCAAACTGCCTTCTTTGCTACCCACTTAGCATTGCTTTAAGAAATGCAAAAATACTTCAGAAATAAATATCTCCAAACTAAGCACAAGTGACTTTTGGATTTTCCATACCTTCATTCTCGGTCATGATCGATTACTTAGCTGGGTTAATAGACCAAAAAGTTAACTCTGGGTGTCAAAACAAACAGCCCATCTAAACTATGCTTTTGAAAGGACAGATTCTGGCCTGCCTTTCTCAACCCCAAAAACAAATCGGGTCTTCATTGATTGTCCCCCTAGAATCATCAGTGTAATTGAGTTTCAAGGTCCCTAATAGAAGGATATTGAAATGAGAGAGAGCAGAATCTTAGCTTTCTAGTGAATCATGGCAGAGCTTCTCTTGGATCATTATGCTTATTTATGATATACTGAAATACACACATGCACACACCCCACCTCGCCCCCCCCCCCCC